CACCTGTGAGACACGCACACAGACAAAGATCCCCCGTGTAGCCTCAGCAGACTGTTGGGGCAAGTGCTGTTAGCAAGCATCACCTGTGAGACACACACACAGACAAAGATCCCCCGTGTAGCTTCAACAGACTGTTGGGGCAAGTGCTGTTAGCGAGCATCACCTGTGAGACACACACACAGACAAAGATCCCCCGTGTAGCCTCAACAGACTGTTGGGGCAAGTGCTGTAAGCGAGCATCACCTGTGAGACACACACACAGACAAAGATCCCCCGTGTAGCCTCAACAGGCCGTTGGGGCAAGTGCTGTAAGCGAGTAGCAGCACTTATGAAGGCCACTCGCACCCACAAGGATTCCTCCCCCCCAGTCCACTACCTATTCCCAACGATGGTGACGATGACATCATCTGTTGTACCTTGGGACGCACATTACGAATCATCAGCCTCACAGTGTTACCGTGGGGATCTCAGTCTGTTTGAAGACAAAGAACCCCCGTATAGCCTCAACAGACTGTTGGGGCAAGTGCTGTGGGCGTACACCTACTAAAGCCGGCACGAGGAGTGGGTAGCCAGCACCCCGCCCCGGCCGCCTTTGTCTCCCCAGTGGCCATGTTTTTACTCACCGCACCGGGTCCTCATTTGAGGCCGAGTCGAGCTAGGGGAGGCCCAGGACCGGTTCAGATAATCGTCACCGGCGGTGTTGTCGGCCGTGAGCGGGAATCGAACTCGGGTCGCCGGGTTCGTAGCGCAGCGTAGCGCTAACCGCTGCACCACCGCTCCCCACGCACACAAAAGACAAAGCTCTCCTATATAGGCTTAACAGACTGTTGGGGCAAGTGCTGTTAGCGAGCACCACACCCACACACACCCACCCACGTGGTATACCCACACACACACACATCCACCCACGTGGTATACCCACACCCACACACCCACCCACGTGGTATACCCACACCCACACACACCCACACACACCCACCCACGTGGTATACCCACACCCACACACACCCACCCACGTGGTATACCCACACCCACACACACCCACCCACGTGGTATACCCACACACACACACATCCACCCACGTGGTATACCCACACCCACACACACCCACCCACGTGGTATACCCACACCCACACACACCCACCCACGTGGTATACCCACACCCACACACACCCACCCACGTGGTATACCCACACCCACACACACCCACCCACGTGGTATACCCACACACACACACACCCACCCACGTGGTATACCCACACCCACACACACCCACCCACGTGGTATACCCACACCCACACACACCCACCCACGTGGTATACCCACACCCACACACACCCACCCACGTGGTATACCCACACCCACACACACCCACCCACGTGGTATGCCCACACCCACACACCCACCCACGTGGTATACCCTCAGCGGTCCACTGCCCATGGCCAAGGCTGACGTTGCTGACAGCGTCTGTCGCAGCCTTGGCCGTTACCACGGGGATCTGTACAAAGACAAAGGTGCCCCGTGTAGCCTGCGACAGGCTGTAGGGGCAAGTGCCGTTAGCGGGGGGGGGGGGGGCACCTGTGAAGGCCGGCACGGCGGCGCACGAGGGGGTGGCTGGCCAGCAACCACGCCCGGCCGCCTTTGTCTCCCCAGTGGCGCGGTACCGATGGTTGCGCTGTGAAACCTCAAACTAACTTCGTTAAAACACCAAACCTATCAACTCCTTACCAGTGCCCTGCCTTACTGCAGACCAACCCGGATCCGGTTAGTCAATCCGTGCCCCTGATACGTCTCAACGTTCAGCCTCCTGCAAAGTCCCATCGCCGCAAGGGGGAGAACTCACAAAACAAATCATCAACAGCAACAACAACAACAACCGCCCCCGATGACAGCGGCCCTACCCCGCAACTCAATCGTCCCGTCCAGGAGGAGCCCGCGGGTTGGCACGGCGTGGAAGCCCAGATCCCACAGTGTGGGTGGTCGCCACTGCTCCCGGCCGCCTTTGTCTCCCCAAAGACGACGCTCCGCACTCCACGCTCACCACACCCCAGGATGCGACAGAGAGGGGGGCGGGGGGTGGGGGGTCGGGAGTGATAAAACTCCCACGAGTACAAAGATGGGCCAGATAGCCCACGGGGACTGTTAGGGCAAGTGCTGTGAGCCGGTAGCGCCTGTGAACTGAACTGTGTCTGCCTTAACTTGAACGGGAAAGGCACCCACACATCGTGATGGCTCAACCAAAGTGGCGTACATCGCGATGTGGAAATGCACAGCAGCAGCTGAATCATCTCAAGGCGCGATGTTGATTCTAAATCCACGTGACCACGGGGAGAGAGGGAGACACGCAGACTCCAAATATACAGGGATATACAGGTGGGGTCGAACCCACGACCTCCTGTGGACCAGGCGAGGGAGTCAACATCTCCTAGACACGGTGATGATGATGATGAGAGAGAGAGAGAGACAGACAGAGAGAGACGGAGAGACAGACAGAGATAGACAGAGAGAGACAGAGAGACAGAGAGAGACAGAGAGACAGACAGAGACAGAGAGACAGACAGACAGAGAGAGAGAGAGAGAGACAGAGAGACAGAGAGAGAGAGAGACAGACAGAGAGAGACAGCGAGAGAGACAGAAAGACAGAGAGAAGACAGAGACAGACAGAGAGAGACAGAGAGAGAGAAGACAGCGTGACAGAGAGACACAGAGAGACAGAGAGAGAGACACAGAGAGACAGAGCATGACAGAGAGAGACAGAGAGACAGAGACAGAGCGAGACAGAGAGAGACAGACAGAGAGACAGAGAGAGAGGCAGAGAGAGACACAGAGAGACAGAGACACACAGAGAGACACAGAGAGACACAGAGAGACACAGAGACACACAGAGAGACACAGACACACAGAGGCACACAGAGAGACAGAGAGACACAGAGACACAGAGAGAGAGAGACAGAGACACAGGGAGACACAGATAGACACAGAGAGACACAGAGACACACAGAGAGACACAGAGAGACAGAGACACACAGAGAGACAGACAGAGAGAGAGACAGAGAGAGACAGAGAGAGACAGACAGAGAGACACAGAGAGAGGCAGAGAGAGACAGAGAGAGACAGACAGAGAGACACAGAGAATGACAGAGAGACAGACAGAGAGAGAGACAGAGAGAGACAGAGTGGCACAGAGAGACAGAGAGAGACAGACAGAGAGACACAGAGAATGACAGAGAGACAGACAGAGAGAGAGAGACAGAGACACAGAAACAGAGAGAGACAGAGAGATACAGAGCGAGACAGAGAGAGAGACAGAGAGACAAGACAGAGACAGACAGAGACAGACAGAGAGACAGAGAGAGACAGAGCGTGACAGAGAGGGAGAGAGAGGACACGTGGGGGCTACAGGAGGCGCGTGATTCAGAGAGGAGCGCAATGACTGTTGAGGAAGTCCGACTTGGCCGAACGCGTCGGAGCGGATCGGGAAGGGAGAGGGGGTGGGGGAAGGGGGGGAGGGGGGAAGGGGAGAGGGGGTGGGGGAAGGGGGGGAGGGGGGAAGGGGGGGAGGGGCTATCGGGGTGCCGATGGCCGTGGAGTCACGGCCAGAGTGATAAATGCTTGGAGGGAAAGCTGATTGGGCGTTTGATGTCCCTTTGATAACCTTCGCCACGAAAGCTGTGAAGTCATCAACTAGACACGAAATCGTTTCTCTCTTTACCAGGCAAGGGCTCCCCCACTGAGCTGCGCAAATGACACAGCCCGACGAAGTGGCTCATCATCATCATCGTCATCATCATCATCATTGTCATCATCATCGTCGTCATCATTGAGTTGTCCTTTTTTATCAGAGTTGTCTTTTTGTTTGCATTTTGACTGCTTGTGTTGTGGTTATTGCAGACACGATGCCTTGAATAAAGGTGTCAGTTTTTTGTGCCAGTTAAAAGGGTAAAACCTATTACTATATCTTGTTACTGGCAAAGGAGGTCTCATAATGTAAAGTCATCATCATCGTCATCATCATCATCATCGTCGTCATCATCATCATCATCGTCGTCATCATCATCGTCATCGTCATCATCATCATCGTCATCATCATCATCGTCATCATCATCATCATCGTCGTCATCATCATCATCATCGTCGTCATCATCATCGTCATCGTCATCATCGTCATCATCATCGTCATCATCATCATCGTCATCATCATCATCGTCATCATCATCATCGTCGTCGTCACCGCCACGTGGACACTCCCAAGCGCGTGTTTCTAACGGAGCAGCGCAATCTCCTCTGGGCACGAAGACGACGGCCATGCTGATGTGTGGAACCGGTGGTGGTTGTTGTTGCGCTGTGAAACCTGCCACGAGCATGGTGAAACCCCAGAGCTGTCACGTGATTACAGACCAACTCAGGCCATCACCCACAAGGGCAGAAACACAAACGAATGGACGCACTTTATCATTTAGTTTTTCACTGCATTGAAACTCAATGCCAGAGTACGGGGCGTAAGCCGTGTGGCTTGACACGGTACGAACACCCACACAAAGTTCTAGGCGGTGCGTGGCCAGCACCACGCCCGGCCGCCTTTGTCTCCCCGGTGGCGATGTTCACGCCCCGTACACGGTACTCATTTGAGGCTGAGTCGACCTAGGGGAGTAGTTCCAGCACGGGTTCGGTGTTGGCGGCAGCGAGCGGGAATGGAACTCGGCAATCAGCCGGGGGGGGGGGGGGGGGGGTCACGTGATCGCTCCGCCACCGCTCGCTCGCGACGGCAGCTGAGCGCACACAACTTGACTGACCAGCGTCCCAACGTTCCCACGTCCAGCCCAGCCATCGGTGACGTCCACTGGCGGTCTCCCCGCCAGCGGCGGCGGAAATTCCACATTCCCGTGGCGGGGGGAACGGTTCGTCCAAATGACGGCCACATTGGTGCATGGGCTACGTGGCCGGGTTAGTTGACGAGTTGACTCGGAGGGCAACTAGCTCACGGTCGCGATGTCACTCACCCAGAATGTGGAATTGTCCTTTCCACAAAACGACTCCATGGTGAGACCAGCTCCTCCACCTCCACCAGGAGGCCTTGGTCTCTCTGGACACCTCCACCAGGAGGCCTTGGTCTCTCCGGTCACCTCCACCAGGAGGCCTTGGTCTCTCTGGCACCACCACCAGGAGGCCTGGGTCTCTCTGACACCTCCACCAGGAGGCCTGGGTCTCTCTGGCACCTCCACCAGGAGGCCTTGGTCTCTCTGACACCTCCACCAGGAGGCCTGGGTCTCTCTGACACCTCCACCAGGAGGCCTTGGTCACCTCCTGTAGAAGATGACAGCTTATAAATACCGACAGCAAACAGTATGTGCACGTGTGCGTATGTGTGCGTGTGTGTGAGTGTGTGTGAGTGTGTGTGTGGTGTGTGTGGTGTGTGTGCGTGTGTGTGAGTGTACGTGTGTGTGCGTGTGTGTGAGTGTGCGTGTGTGTGAGTGTACGTGTGTGTGCGTGTGTGTGAGTGTACGTGAGTGTACGTGTGTGAGTGTGCGTGTGTGTGAGTGTACGTGTGTGTGCGTGTGTGTGAGTGTACGTGTGCGTGAGTGTACGTGTGTGAGTGTGCGTGTGTGTGAGTGTACGTGTGTGTGAGTGTACGTGTGTGTGAGTGTACGTGTGTGAGTGTACGTGTGTGTGAGTGTACGTGTGTGTGAGTGTACGTGTGTGAGTGTACGTGTGTGTGAGTGTACGTGTGTGTGTGTGTGAGTGTGCGTGTAGTATAGTGGATAGCGCACTCCACTACGAACCCGGCAAACCCGAGTTCGATTCCCGCTCACGGCCAACACAAGCGACGATTATCTGAACGGGTACTGGGCCTCCCCTAGGTCGACTCAGCCTCAAATGACTACCCGGTTCTGTGTGTAGTAAACATCGCCACTCGGGAGACAAAGGCAGCCGGGCGTGGTGCTGGCCACCCACCCCCTCGTGTTCCGTGCCGGCCTTCACGGCTGTTAGCTAACAGCACTTGCCCCAGCAGTCTGTTAGAGGCTATAGGGGGGATCTTTGCTTGTGTGTGCCAGTGGCCTTCACATGTGCGGAGGAGGAGGTGGAGGCTCGTGAAGGACGCTGCTGGGCAGTCGGGGGCGGTCGCCCTCCAGCAACAGCGGAGGGCGGACGGGCGACGCTCGCAACAACGAGCGGAGCGGATGGCACGCAGCGAGTTGGCGCAGCGGTGCATCTGCCAGTCATCACGTGACACGTGGTTCTGTCCCGTGCCCTCTTGCCAGCGAGTCTGCTGGTGCGAACTTCTTTCGCACCATACGTAGCCAAGCGCGCTAATCGGGGGCGCAGTGCGGGAGGCAACAAACGGCAAAACAAAAGGCAGGTTTCTAAAGAAACGAGTTTGTCAATGTAGGCGATGACGACGTAAAAGTGCACATCTCCCAGTGGCTGCCTGACACCGGAAGGGAAGAGAGCGTTCCAGACGGCCGCGGAAGCGCGTCCGAAAGCGCCGCACGGACGACAACGACCGCCGTCTCCGAGTCGATGGCCGAGCCACAGAATCTACCGCTGTGAGGCTGCACGGAGGTGGCGTGGTGACGGTTTGGATGCGAGGAGTGTGCGGTGCAATGTGCTCAGCACCCTCGATTGGAGAAGAGATTGTCAACGCAGCGCTACGCATTGGCGGCACGCACCACGTGGGGCGGGGTATATAAAAAAGATAAAACATTTCGCAATAATGATGACATTCCCTGGCGATTCGCAAGCCCGGTCGAAAAATCTTGCGAGGCGGCGGGTGGTGGTGGTTGTGGGGAGCAGTGGTTGCGGTGGCTGCGGTGGCGGTGGTGGTGGCGGCGGTGGCCGTGGTGGTGGTGGTGGTGGTGGTGCGTCAACATCAGTTCTCGTGATGTCGAACCAGTGGGAAGCCGAGCGTTTACACGAGCGGCTGAACGCGAAGGAGCTTGACCGTCTGTTGCCGTACAGCAGCACCCAGCCTGGTGGCCATTGGCTGCTCCGTGTCCCAAAGGCAGATTTCACGCCTCGTGCCCTAGACTCGGTCGGACGCTTCCTCGATTCGACGGAACCCCAAAACAACGGTCAACGTTGACCGTTGTTTTGGCAAGTCTCGGTAGACTCAATAAACCATCGCGTCGCGTCGAACTTGGCGGCAGGGTCAATTAAAGACCGATAAAAAACAGATCCCCCGATTAAAGTTGAGGCCGAGGAGCCGGTGCGTGAGGCTGCACCGGGGCACCGCCAATACGTCCGAGCGTGTCAACCTTCCCAGCGGGGAAGAGGAGCAGAGAGACGCAAGGATGCGACGGATGGGCAAGAGAGAGGGAAAGGGAGCGGCTGACAGCGGGCGGCGGACGGGGAGATGCGGAGGGGTTCAGACTGGGGGTGGTCACACGTGAGTCACGTGGCTGGGTTTGTGATCACAAATCTCCATTTCTCTATTTATCCTGGAGGAATCCGAGGTTTGTGATCACAATCGGAATCTCTATTCATCCTGGCGGAATCCTAGGTTTGTGATCACAATCACACATATCTATTTATCCTGGAGGAATCCGAGGTTTGTGATCACAATCACAAATCTATATTTATTCTGGAGGAAACCGAGTTTGTGATCACAATCACAAATCTCTATTCATCCTGGAGGAATCCTAGGTTTGTGATCACAATCACAAATATCTATTTATCCTGGAGGAATCCGAGATTTGTGATCACAATCACAAATCTCTATTTATCCTGGAGGAATCCGAGGTTTGTGATCACAATCACAAATCTCTATTTATCCTGGAGGAATCCGAGGTTTGTGATCACAATCACAAATCTCTATTCATCCTGGAGGAATCCAATGAGCTATGAAGCTAATTTTTTTTTTACCCCACAAATGTCCAGAGGGTGTCACGGGGTCGGAACGAACCAACACCGAACAAAGCCACGACACACCAGACAGTGCGGGTACAGTGAAGGTGAGCTAAAGATGAAAATAATGATGATGATGATGATGTTTATAGTGCCAGGTAAAGCCCACTGAGATACCTATCTGACTTTTCAGAAGCCACCCGGCCATCGCGAATGAGAGCTCATCACGGCCACCACCACCATCACCACCACCACCACGTGGAAGCCAGCGACGTGGGGTCAGGCGAGGCACGGCCTCACTTGCCATACTCCACTGACAAGAGCTGCTACGAAAAATAACAAAATTATGAAATCGATTTTTTTTCCCTCCCTTCCACTGATCGGTGTTACGTCATTTCTGTATGATGCCAATCGTTTTTAAAGTCAAAATCGCCAAATGTGGGTAGCTCTGCTGCAAGTGCCGGGAGAGACATAGAGACAGAGACGAGAGAGACAGAGAGACAGAGACGAGAGACAGAGAAGAGAGGCAGAGAGGCAGAGACAAGAGACAGAGACGAGAGACAGAGAAGAGAGGCAGAGAGGCAGAGACAAGAGACAGAGGCAGAGACGAGAGACAGAGAGGCAGAGAGACAGAGACAGAGAGACGAGAGGCAGAGACAGCGAGACGAGAGACAGAGAGACGAGAGACAGAGAGGCAGAGAGGCAGAGACAGAGACGAGAGGCAGAGAGACAGAGAGGCAGAGAGACAGAGAGACAGAGACGAGAGACAGAGAGACAGAGAGACAGAGAGGCAGAGAGACAGAGACAGAGAGACGAGAGGCAGAGACAGAGAGACGAGAGACAGAGAGGCAGAGAGGCAGAGACAGAGACGAGAGACAGAGAGACAGAAACAGAGAGACACAGAGACAGAGAGACAGAGACGAGAGACAGAGAGGCAGAGAGACAGAGGCACAGAGACAGAGAGGCAGAGAGACAGAGACAGAGAGACGAGAGGCAGAGACAGAGAGACGAGAGACAGAGAGGCAGAGAGGCAGAGACAGAGACGAGAGACAGAGAGACAGAAACAGAGAGACACAGAGACAGAGAGGCAGAGACAGAGAGACAGAGACAGAGAGACAGAGAGACAGAGACACAGAGACACAGAGACAGAGAGACAGAGACACAGAGACACAGAGACACAGAGACGCAGACACAGATAGACAGAGACGAGAGACAGAGAGACAGAGACAGAGAGACAGACAGAGAGACAGAGAGACAGAGAGACACAGAGACAAGAGACACAGAGAGACAGAGAGACAGACACAGAGAGACAGAGACACAGAGACAGACACAGAGAGACACAGAGACAGAGACACAGAGACACAGAGAGACACAGAGACAGAGAGACAGAGACAGAGAGACAGAGACACAGACAGAGAGTCAGAGACACAGAGAGACAGAGACACAGAGAGACAGAGAGACAGAGAGACAGAGACAGACACAGAGAGACAGAGAGACACAGAGACACAGAGACAGAGACACAGAGACAGAGAGACAGAGAGACAGACACAGAGACACAGAGAGACAGAGACAGACACAGAGAGACAGAGACACAGAGACAGAGAGACAGAGACACAGACACAGAGACACAGACACAGACACACACAGAGACAGAGACGAGAGACAGAGACGAGAGACAGAGACGAGAGACAGAGACACAGAGACAGAGACACAGAGACACAGAGACAGAGAGACAGAGACACAGAGAGATAGAGACAGAGAGACAGAGATACAGAGACACAGAGAGACAGAGACACAGAGACACAGAGAGACAGAGACACAGAGACACAGAGAGATAGAGACAGAGATACAGAGACACAGAGACACAGAGAGACAGAGACACAGAGACACAGAGAGATAGAGACACAGAGACACAGAGAGACAGAGACACAGAGAGATAGAGACACAGAGACACAGAGAGATAGAGACACAGAGACACAGAGAGACAGAGAGATAGAGACAGAGATACAGAGACACAGAGAGACAGAGATACAGAGACACAGAGAGACAGAGACACAGAGAGACAGAGACACAGAGAGACAGAGACACAGAGACACAGAGAGATAGAGAGACAGAGATACAGAGACACAGAGAGACAGAGACACAGAGAGATAGAGACACAGAGACACAGAGAGACAGAGAGACAGAGACACAGAAACACAGAGAGACAGAGACAGAGAGACACAGAGAGACAGAGAGAGAGAGAGACACAGAGACACAGAGAGATAGAGACACAGAGACACAGAGAGATAGAGACAGGGAGGAGCTCAGCAGCCTCCCCGCTGGTTGTGCAACCCATCAGACACTGCATGGAGCGTGGGTGATAAGCGTGTGCCTGCTCCTATCTCAATGCGATCATTGGAATCGTACAGAAATTACATTCATAGCACGGATCAGTGCGAAAATCTTTCACAAAAAATTCG